ACAAAGGATAATTAATTATATATAAATATACAACTTCTGGATATAAATTTTCTCCCGATGGTAATTCATTATAACCACAGGATAAATGTTGGATGATAATTACTGTATATATTAGGAAACGACTTTAATATAATTCAGTATTTTCCTGGGTAGCAACCGTCAGCTTTCTGAAAATATGTAGGCGAGAAAATGGAAGCACAAGATATATAGTTAGGCATTTGCTTCTGAAAATGTGAGACGATGAAATAACTTTAATTCCTTTGAAAGGCTAGTTTAGAAACAAAGTAGAAGTGTCGAATTTGTAGCAGCAGCAATTATCCTACAGGGTATTTCAAGTTACAGATTCCCTCCGAAATCAGGAAAAAGCGTTCAAGCCAAAGGGTACTTTGATAAGGACCTTGACCGCGACTTTCATCTCTCCGATGGACAGAGTATAATATTTCACGTTCAGAAATAGCTTTTAGGTCATTCAGAAGCAAACAAGTCTCATGTCCAGGATAACAAACTATGGTTCTATTCCAAAAAATGACATTGAGTCAAGTCAAGGTCATTTTCAAACGTGAAGTCCATTTTTCACAACTGGGGGGTCAACGACGATAGAACGTCCATCTCTCTTGTACGGCTCCCTGGTCTGGTGGCCTTGCATTAGAACTGAGACAACTAAGGCCAAACTCAATAAAATTCAGCGTTTGGCCTGTATTAGTATTACAAGCGCAGTGCGAACAACGCCATTGAGTGCAATGTTGTATCTCCCACCGTTGGATCTGGCGATCCGCAGGTGAAGCGAGAGTAGTCGCTCATCGACTGTGGAGTCAGGGCAGCTGGGCTTTCTTGAATCCTGTCAAGGGCAGATTGCCATCTTAGTCGAATTAGAAAGGGAGGGCCCCGTCCTTCTAAGCAGGGGTGATCGTATTACCCCTAAATATCGCTTCAACCGCAAGTTTATTGTGGAGTATCCAACGAGGGAGGAGTGGGACGCAGGTAGCCGGGGACTCTCCTGGAGGAGGGTGGGCCTAGGAGAAGAATAACAATCTTATCCGACAGCCAGGCTGCAATGAAAGCACTAAGTGCCTATAAGATTACTTCGAGTCTTGTATTGCAATGCAGGGAGGCTCTGGATTGCCTCGCAGCGAGGCATCCGGTATCCTTAATATGGGTACCAGGGCACGCTGGGATAAGGGGCAATGAGGCGGCGGACACTCTGGCGAAGACAGGATCAGCAGCAAGCTCGTTGGTCCTGAGCAGCTCTAGGAGTGACCGCGCATAAAGTCGAGTAGGAAAATGGAGACGTGGGTTGCAAGACACACTCTCAAAATGGAGAAGACTCCAGACATTTCCTAGCACGGGAACCATTGAAGGACCAGTGTTAAAGAAACGTTCTGCCGACTCTGATTAAGCCACCTGGTTAGGGTGGAGACTGGCAACACTAGGCGTCACCGCACTGATGGGGTGGCTGAGGATCCCTTGTGCGAACGCTGCGGAGTAGAGGAAGAGACCTCGGTGCACGTTTTGTGTCGCTGTGAAGCTCTGAGCTACCATAGGCATACTATACTGGGGTCCATTACTTTGGTCCCTCAGGGCGTCAAGGAGCTTGGACTCAAGGCGATTCTCAACTTCGCTAAAAGGGCGAGGCTTGTGATCTAAGGATTGTAGAGGTGCATAAGGGCCCGCTTAAGCGGGCTATGCACTGGCTCCTTATGGTGGCCGGAATGCCTCGAATTTCAAGATTCATTCATTCATTCACTGGGGGGTCAAAATATACGATTCTTTATTAAAGAAGTTTCATGTTGATATGAGCTGCTCTGATCTGGTCTGCTGTAAATCACCGTTCAGGAATTCTGAAATTCATTGTTCGAAAGAACCTATAACATCAGTCCGAATCTGAGGTTGTTTTCTGGAATAGATTTACCACCGCTTGACGCTGTAAACGGCGGCGCGCGTGACTTGCCACAGTCGGTCGCTTATCTGTCGGAGGCTGAAAGTTGCACTGGGGATTTTGCTGGAGTGTAGCTTGTGGTTACGTATTCTGTGGTACTTTTCCGTGAAGGTCATTTCATTTTCTTATGACCTACTTTTTCTGTTCTAAGCAGAAATACAAAAACATGCTGTGATAAAATATTGATTGAAATGTGATAAAAACAGGAAGAGCAAACAGAATTTCAGCTTGTTGGTTTGTTTAGACATTTAAAAGGACCCCCCATTATTTCGTATATTCAATCGAATCAATCGTAGTTTAAACGCATTGTGTGAACGAAAAGCCCCTATGGAATACTATACCTTGTATTGTGCTATATATTCTTGGCGAAAATACGATTTTCTCCATGATTGATTGCTCTTTCGACATGGCCCGCGTTATTTCTCTATCGATGGTTTGCAGGACAAAAGAATTTGCCTATTTTTTAGAAGATCGATGCTATCTTGATTTACGAACCGTTCGATGATGGCTGCGTGATTCGATTATAATGAGTTATAGTTGCATTGTGCTAGATCAGGCAGTAATTAATCCTGCAGGCCCTAAGGAAGGAAGCCAGGAAGGAAGTATTGAGCCAGAAATATTTCACGATAATGATATTTTTCATAGGGAAACCCCAGCATTTTGGGTAAAGTACAGGGTGCAGCTTAAATGTACTAAGGCACGAGCTTCGACGATCTTAAACATTTTGCTCAATAAAATTTGAGGTTACATGCAGCAAGGAAACATGAAATATGAGTCCGGAAGTAACTCGTTTCCATAATGCAGGGTATTTAAACTCTTCTCGATCTCATATTTAGTATCATTTTGTCGGTTTGAAAAGTGTCTATAGGAGTGCTCTGATATCTTCTTTTATAAGGGGTGATTTTTTAAGAGGTATAGGATTTGATTTTCAAAAAAACACAAAAAATTTGAAAAAACGATTAAATCTTTATTTGAGTCGATAGAACGGTCGATATAATTTAATGTTTAAAGATTATTTCATGTAAATGTTGGCCGCGGCTCCGCTTTAGATGGCCCATGCGCAAGGTCCAATTTTGGCACACGCTCTCCAACATATCGGCCGGTATCTCACGAATAAATGCTTCAATATTGGCTTCTAGTGCGTCAATCGTTGCTAGTTTATCCCTGCAGACATTAGCCTTAACATGGCCGCACAAGAAATAGTCCAACGGCGTTAAATCACACGATCTAGGCGGCCAATTGACGGGCCCCAAACGTGAGATAAACTGTTCACCAAACTCGCCTCTCAATAGGGCCATTGTTTCGTGTGCGGTGTGGCATGTGGCACCGTCTTGTTGAAATCACATGTCAACCAAGTCCAGCTCTTCCATTTTGGGCAAAAAAAGTTTGTTATCATCGCACGGTAGCGCTCGTTATTCACAGTTACGTTCCGGCCATTGTCGTCTTTGAAGAAGTACGGCCCGATGATGCCACCGGCCCATAATCCACACCAAACAGTGATTTTTTTGGGATGCATTGGTAGCTCTTGCAATGCTTCTGGCTGGTCTTCACTCCAGATGCGGCAATTTTGCTTGTTAACGTACCCATTAAACCAGAAATGAGCTTCGTCGCTGAACACAATTTTTCGATAAAAATGTGGATCTTCCTCCAACTTTGCCAGCGTCTATTCACCAAATTGGAAACGTTGTGGGAGGTCGTGTGGCTTCAATTCTTGCACCAGCTGTATCTTATAAGGTTTTACACTCAAATCCTGTCGCAAAATTGTCCACGTAGTGGAGTAACAGAGGCCCAATTGCTGCGAACGGCGGCGAATCGACATTTCACGGTCATCACTAACACTGGCGGATACAGCCGCAATATTTTCTTCAGTCCTCACTCTACGTCTGCGTGTTGGTGGTATAATGTCCAATAATGTAAACTGGGTTTGAAATCACAAGCTTCCGAATAGCTCCCTCAGTAGGCCGACCAAAGTGCCCATAAATTGGAAGCAGTGCTCGATGTACTCTCTTAACCGAGCATGAATTTTGATAGTAAAATTCAATAATTTGCAAGCGTTGTTCGTTCGTGAGTCGATTCATGGTTAAATTATAGACCAAACTGAACAAGTTTGACAATGACGCGATTCACGCGTCATCTGTCAAAAACAGTGTTGCCAAAAAGATACTAGCAAAAAAATCACCCATTACTTTTTTAAATAACGATATAAAAATTGATGTACTGGTAGATACATTAATGTGTATTCCGAAAGTGGTGAATCTGTACGAAGAACTTCAAGAAGTAGTCTTTCAGTAGGATCCATATGACTTCAAGATACTTATCGTCGCTTTAGAATAGAACTAGCTTAAGTCCAAAAATCAATGTTTTCAGGACACGATTCTTCACGTTCTTTATTTATACAGATATTTCAATGAAAATTTGTACACATGTTCTAAAAATGTCTGTTTTAAATATACTTTAGTAAAAAACGAAAAACACTAACGTTAAAACAAAATGTTGGAGATGGAATACTTTTAATTTTAGAAATTATACAAGTGCACTTCTTGGACTTAGGCGTATTATATGTTTATGGACGTAGTTTAGTCATGCTTCTTTCAACTCTAATTTGTCTTCTGGAGAACCATTATCGTATTGGTGACAAATATCGCAGAGATCCTTTTTGGGCTGGAAAAAGGATGGATTAAAATCTGTGTTAAAGATCTATACATTGCTTTAGGTGTATCTTGCTTACCTTAAGTGTTGGGGGTAAATATTTACGACTGGTTGTTTGTCTATAGTAATGACTTTCAATTGTTTCAAATATGTTTATGTGATCCCTAACATTTTGTTTAGTAGACTCGGTAATAAGAGTGTTTTTACAACCTGTTCCTCGTCTATCTTCGGAAACAATACCTGAAGGTCCAGTTTTGTTCATACCGGTTTTGATTACCTGTGCACTAATTGATAGTGTATTTAGAAAAAAAGTTTTACATATTTGCACCTTTTTGTTTTCATTTTTAGGAAGAGTATGTAAAAGTACTGTTTCTTCTACTGTTTTTATTATCATTAGAAAGTTCTAAGAATGTACTTCATTCCACAGTTCTCTTCACATGATTTTTTAATTTTTCTTGCTAATTGTTTCTTTCCTTGCCAGTTGGTGTATTTCTGTCCTTGATTCCTCGCTGACTTAATTATATCTTTCTGTTCCAAGTATGTTCTCGTCTTAGCTTTTTTAGATATTTTTCTAGCTGTTTTATTCTTTTGATCTGTTTTAAAACTTGTATCAGTTTCTTTATAATTGTTTTCAAAATTAATTTTTTTTCTCTTCTTCTGTTTGCTTTCTTGTGAATTAAGATTAGGGTCGTTTTCTTCCGATGATAAATACAAATCCTCTTCGAGAATATTTTTTCGTTTGCCACATATTCCAAGGTCTAGTTGGTCAGTTTCTATTACATCTAGAATAAAAAGTCTCAGTTAGAAATTTATAACAAAATACTTTTAAAATTGACAACGAAAATAAAAACCATTTTTTAGTTACGAATATTATTTACATAAACATTTAAAATAAATGACTAATATTTTTTTAATCAGACCGGAAGGTACTCACTTTCTAGTCTCATAGGATAACGAAATATTGTTTTTGAAAAGCCTCAAAAGCCTATTGTTTTTTTAGCTTCAAAACTGTTATTAACAAAACCCGAGCTTTAGATATTAATTTGAGGATAGACGAGTTATACACACCTTGTAAAAACACTCTGATTATTAAGTCTATTAAAAAAAAATGTTAGGGGCCACATACATTTATTTGACTGAAAGTCAATATGCTTGGCCAAAAACTCTTATCCTAAGCGAGGTGTATACCATGTACCTTGAGAATAATTGTTTGGGTACTGATAAGCTATTGGTAAAGTGCTCTTTTTCTGGACTAGACCGAAAAGTAGTTATTCCCATAATAGCTGTTTTTTTTTAATTAGCCTTAAATTCACCCTACTGAACTCTGCAGCTTTTTCAAGAAAAGTGACATTTTCGGGAGTTGGTTTTTAATATTACAAATTTTTCTAAAGGTTAGTTTGCTTACCTATAATTTTTTCGAGAGCACTTCTTACTTCGTCACTAGCATTTTTGTCAAGTCGTGGCTCAGTTCGTTGAGAATCGTCTTTTTTATAGGCCAAAATGGTTGTAACTTTATTGGATTCAAGACTTAAAACTAATTTTATATTTTCAAGATTCATATTGCAAAATGCATTATCGCTCTTGTTAAAAACAGCCGTTTCCTTAGAGAGTAAATAACTAGGCGGCATAAGGTTGCTGTACTCGTATTTATCAAATATTGGGCATTGTTGGTATCTATAAAAAAATTAAGTAAAAAATTATTCAGTACAGAATTGTATGAGTGTAAATGTTATTATTTGTTTTTCTTAAACTAGTAGCTAAAAACGAATTTCCAATTTTAATGTATTACTTAGGAATGATTTTATAGCTAGAAAAGAACTACCTACCATCACAGTGTTTGCCCAGAAGATCATATATTTTTTCCTTCTAACACTCATATTTAATTTGTTGCGCAAACTGGATCACTTTATACTAAGAACTGATTAAAACTAAGGTTATCTGCGTTATTCGTGTACGGTCGCGCCTTAAAATGCCTAGATTTCTAACAAGGCAAAACCAGCTGCAGAACTAGTTTATATCCACTAAAAGTTGTTAAGGTTTATTAAAATTATGGATCAGAAAAGGCCTAAGTCCACATTTTCTGGGACATAGAATTTTGTTTTAAAGTAGAACTAGCTTAAGTGCCTACAATTCACTAGTATAGGTAGATAATCTGTCGCAAGAAAGGATACTTCTGCACTAAAAATGATTGGAAATATGGACATAGAATTACTGTTCTACAAAAGTATAGTTCTGCACTGAAATTATTTCGCTTCAGGACATAGGCTTATTTTAATTTAAAGACTACTTGGTAAATATAAATTTTAGGACTGCACTTGATCGGCGACACCTTACTGCATCATATAGACAAAAATGGACTTGGGCTAGTTCTGATCTAAAGCGACGTTATACGAATTGTCGGAAAACATTTTTTATAACTATTCTATGTGATTTGAACTGCTTCATTAAGCACGCATGCTACACCTTTTTCCGAATACGTTTTCCTCGGGTGTTTACAGGTACCAGAACCCTCTGTTCTTACCTTTCGTGCCTCAAAATTATACGTTCGGGAGGGTGGGTATGGGGGGCAGTGTTTGGTCGGTATTTCAGATGGAAATGTATTTTGCCACCCCCATAACATGGTTTCCAGAAACTGGCCACTGCTACTGTACTTTCACCTCAGCCCCGTCGTAGTCCCCCAGTATTTTCTGGTAGGCTGTTTACAGTGGTACAACATGGAACACCCTATTTCTTTTTGATTGCTTCTGGCCAATACTTTGATGCCTATATTAATTTTTAGTGCATCCTTCAACCCGGTAGTGCTATATCTTACCCCTCATGTTTGGTGGGTCTTGAGGTTAAACTTTTCTCAGTTTTCTTGGTTCTCTTTATTTCCTGCCTCTCATTCTTGTTTCCGTTGGGAGCTTTGAAGTCCTTTTTGGGTTCATTGTGCATAAGGCCAGTGAACCCGGTACCACGTAGTGGAAGTAGAAACAGGATAGAAATGGTTCATAATACATGTTGTCGATTTATTCATGGACTCAGGAAATGTGATGATGTTCCTGAGAAAATTGAGAACTTAAATTGCTTTAAGATATCCGTTAGTTTTAAATACAGTTTGCTAATTTTTGTACAGCAATTAATGTTTCAATCCATACCTCCTTCATACCTCAAGAACAAATTACTTTTTAGAGCCAATCTGTTCTAGCTATGGCCTCTCACTCAACAAATATTTTCTATAAAAGCTTTATGTATCTATCAGTTGTTCATTACAATGCACTCCCATTAGAAAACAGTTACCAATTCGAAAATTTAATTTAGCACTTGAAAAATATTTATTCGATATACACATAGTTCATCTAATACAAATAGTTAGTTTAATATTTGTATAAATATGTTACATTTAAAATCATTAGAGTACAGCTACTGAAGGTTAGGTGTATGAGTAACTTTGCGCTATATCTTACTTTTTGTAGTTTGTAGTAAAAAGGAAGATTATTATTATTGACTCGATCTTTTTCCGGGTGAAGTTCTTCTACGACCTTTATAGTCGAATTCACTTATCAAGACTTGCACTCGTGATGATGTACCTAATCATGTCTACATTGCCTATTTTGTCTGCCGTATTTATAGCTACGAATTACAGTCCACAGATTCGCATCGATCAAAACAAAATTTGCAGACAGTTGACATTCATTAGTGTCCCTTCAGGGTTCAAAATAATCCTCATATTATGCCCCTACACGGTCAAACTGTATGTGTCCTGGGAGAATACGAATTATTCATATGAAGGCGGAGTAATTACATTTATTTGACGTATAACCAAAACTAGTACGGTAGTTGGAGAGAATATTTTAACGAACCATCAGAAAAATTAATAAAAAACACGCTGCAGCTACCTGAAATAATTGATGGTCGGAAAATATTGCCATTTAAATAGATTTGTACGAACGCACTGGAAAAGAAGATCTTTGTGTCCACTCGCATATTCAGCCGCCCCCCCCCCCCAAATCCCACAGCTTTATACGTTTCCCCATATAATGCCTCACTGAAAGCCTCCTTCCGCTAGAATACACATTGAAAAATTAAAAAGCATCATCCGGATTACTTGCTTATTGGAATTTCTAATAAGTGTCGTTTCCAATTTTTCGCTGTAAGAATTTTTTTGATTTGCACGTAGATTTTTGAACCGTCGATCCATATTCTCAGCCTGATCAACCTTCTGGAAATTCCAGATTTCTATACATACATAGGATACCGTAAACATTATATTTACAATGCCCTCATGAACTATTTAAATACATATAATAATTATTCATGGATTAAAACCTGATCTAAGTATATTGAATTTTTAAAGGATTTCGCAATTGAACGAGCATCCAATTTAGCTAGAACGGCATCAGAAATGAACTCTGCCCGGCAAACGCAAATGCAACTGTAAATTAATTTCCTAACAGTCCAATTGATTTTCGCCATTCCACGTTATATAGTTTCCATTAAACCATCAAGATATTATAAATAATCAAGTACAAGCTGTCCGGTGTTTTATAGCTGTTTTGTGAATCAGCACACGAGCGATTATAAGTGATTAAAATGTTTTGTATACTAATCATTAAATCAATGAATAAAATAGAAAATACATTTTTAAAACAAGCTTTTATTTACCTGCTCATAAAAAAATCTAAAATATTTTGCCCCGATTGGAAATACTCAAAGAATAATAAAGCTCCTTTATTTCAAGTCATCAAAAGGTAGCCCGCTTTTATTTGAAAACCTTGAAATATTTACAATCAGAATAAATATTTTTAAATTTTTAGGGCCAATTTCACCAACATTAATATTCAACGGTCGCTCGGACCAATGGGAAAATACCTCAGCGAAATGCAATTTTACGGAAGCTGTCAAAGGTCTCTGAATATCAGTGATTTCTATTAAAATATTAAGTAAAATCATGAAAATTCGACTGTATTATAAACAAGACCACTGTTTGATTCCAACATGATGCTTTTGTACAGAGAAAACAGGACAACTTTAATGTATTTTGATTTCTGTTGTAAATTTACATTTAACAATCCGTTAACCCCTAGCCAATCGGAATGGGAGAAATAATCGTGGAAGTTGATTTTCCAGCTGTTAAATTTAACAGCAGATTTGGACGTTTGTTAATGCATGGCAATCTCGAATATGTTAAGTTCAATATACTGAGTGTTCGGCACTTTAAGTGTAAAAAAGGCGAGCTTTAATGGAATCACTGATGTAGTCAAAAATGTTGCTGGAAATCGCCAGCGGACAAGTGGTGAAAAAAAGTCGCTAAAGCATACAAAAATCGCTAAGTCTGGCAACAGTGTTATTTTGTCCAGATGACGCATCACTCAGTCGCTCAGGATACTGGTGGGTCATTTTATTTATACTGATCGGTGCACGAAAATAACTGAATGACTCAGCACACTGCAAGTGGGAAAAGCGAGTTTCCTCAGGTACCAAAAGGAACTAAGGAACAGTCAAATGAGAATTCCATCTAACACGCACGAAACATGTGTCGAAATCAGGTTTAGGTGTTATATGAAAATGTTTTATTGATATCGATGAATTTCTAGAACATCCAAAGGTCTGAAAAATCTTTGAAAGATTTGTTAAAATCTCCAGAAAATATATAAACATAGCCAACAGTCAAGCGAGTCAAAAATCCTTCGGAAGCAAGTATCGAGAACCACAGGCTCCAGGGGCGCGGGGGAAAGTGGAAAATCTCTGACATGTGAGGCAATTTGAAGTGAGATAAGATTATAACTGAGAAAGTGTCCAAATTAGAAGCTACTAAAATTCACTATTGTCTGCATTTCAACCCATTCGCTCTCGCCTTCATGCTGCGCAAAATTGTCAGCAGTGAGCCTCTCGCCAAGAGTCAGCTGTCAGGGCAGTGAACCCATCTAGTATACGAGACCCTTCCCACTTCAAGATTTGTACCAAAATATGCCTTTATAAACTAAACGTGACGAAACTATTTACTTCTAAAACAATTTATTTTCTCAAAAACATTTTAGATACACTCTAGTCGTAAAAAATACATATTTGAAATCACTTAGACCTATAACTAACAGAACATCTGAACAAATAAACAATGTGGGAATAAATGCGCGAAGTTAACAAAGCAACAATTGAAAGATTACCACTGGGCAACATCACCTTTATTTTTTATTACGGCTGAAATTCTTTGGGGCATAGTGTTAACCAAGTTTTGGCAAACATTTGGTGTAAAACAATCCCATATTTCTTGAAGCTTTTGTCTCAGTTCGGTGATTATGTTGAGCGGGATGTTGTCGTAGAACCTTGTTCATTTCGCGCCACAAAGTTTCAATAGGTGACAGATCTGGCCTGCTAAAAACCCATTTCAAAAGTGGTACATTATTTTCTTCCATCCATTTTATAGCCTTTTTTGAGGCATGGCACGCTGCACCATCTTGCTGAAACACAAAATCTTGGCCGGATGTCAAACATTCTTTCATCACTGGTAACAGCGATTCTTCTAAAATTGTCAAATACTTGTTTGTATCCACATTTCCATCAATAAAATGAAGTTTTCCTACTCCTTTTGATGACATACTGCCCCAGACCATAATGGATGCTGGAAATTTCACTTTTCTCTTCAGACAGTCAACATGGAATACTTCATTTTTTGCGAATAACTCTACTGCGAC